ATAACTTTAGACTTTAACACATGCTCTGATAGGCCGGGATCGGATCGGGTGGGAAGTTTAAAAAGCTGGATGTGGACATCCCTAATTAAAACTGAGTCTAAACTGTTTTGCTGTCCCTCTAGGTGTTCGATCAGCTGCGCTCGGTGTGGAAAGAGGCCTCGGTGTCCCTGCACCTGGTGGAGGTGAGCCCCACCCTGAGCCGGCTCCAGGCCCAGCACCTGACGGGGGGGGGCAGCCAGGGGGCGGAGCCTAAAGATGGCCCCGCCTACCGCCGCGGCCAAACCCCCGCCGGGCTGCCGGTGGCCTGGACCCGCCGCCTGGAGGACGTCCCGGAAGGTGGGAGCCTTTAAACCCCCCCCCAGGGGCTTACAGGGGCCTAGGGTTGTCAAAAGCAGTGTTTTTCAACCACTGGTCCTCGGTACACTAGTGTGCCGTTAGTGATGGTCAGGTGTAGAAAATCATCCTATTTCACCTAATTGGTCTAAAAAGATTTTTTGATAAGGAATTAATTATCTGCAAATAATATGCAATTTTTGAGTGTCTGTGCTGTTCTAGTGACTGGTGGAGTAATCATGTAATAATTCCTTATGACTAGATTTTGTATATCATTTTATATATTGAAGTGGACATGTTAAGAGCAATTTGAAAGAAGAAATATAAAATATGATAAAAATACATTTTTGTGTTTACTTGATTCCTATTCAAGACACTTAAGATAAGAATAAAATAAGAATAACTATAGTGTTACTATAGGCGGCTACAGATTTGTTTGACATTTTTGGTTGGTGGTGTGCCTCGAGATTTTTTTCAATGAAAAACTGTACCTTGGCTCAAAAAAGGTTGAAAAACACTGGTCAAAAGTATCGATACTCAAAAAAGTATCGATACTCAAACGTTGTATCCGGATACGATACTCATTTAAAAAAGTATCGGTACTCAAACGTTGTATCCGGATACGATACTAATTTTAAAAAGTATCGATACTCAAAAAAGTATCGATAATCAAAAAAGTATCAATACTAAAACGTTGTATCTGGATACGATACTCATTTTAAAAAGTATCCATATCTGATTTATTTATTTACGTTGTTTATGATCATTAACGTGACGTTAGCCTTGAATTGCTAGCTGCGGCTAATGGCTAACAATAACACGCCAACATTAATCAAGTCTGCAGGAAACCAAGGATGGATATCCAACCCCCCCACATCCAAGTCGACCATTTTGATTAGGTCCCCAATAGGAAGATCCCAGGCAAGAAAATCCT